TCCATCTGGAAAATGAATGTTCTGACAGTACTGGCTTCTGTAAAAAATCAGTATATGTGTTTGTGAGGAACCACTCATATTGCTTCAAAGCTCAGCGGCATGTAAGGACAACTGAATGCATGACTCTGCTTGTCTAGTGCAGGTTCATATGAGACAAAGTTATATAACCATGTGAGTATAGGTAAACAGGTATGAACTGGTTGTGAGACTCTGTAAAGATGTAAATATGAGATAACGTGTATGAGAATAATACAATAAAGACACAGGAAGCAATCACTATGACTCTTCTGCTCTTCTCTGTTGCATGCTACCTGCTGTTGTTGCTGATGTTTTGCACACATGTGTTTAATATTGGGACCTCACTCACAAAAATCTCACTTGGGCCTCCCCAGTGTGGTCAAAGTACTGAAAACTAAAAAAAAAATTCCCTCAAAATTCATATGCCTTGCAAGACCTGTGGCTATCAGGTACTGTAGGAAATGTTTCTTTGGCATTCCCCACCCACCTAGGTTTATTTCTATTCCCTTCACTCATCCCCTTTTATTTAAAAAAAGCACAAAACAAAAGCAAAAAGAAAAAAGAAAATTTTATTATTTAATGCCATGTAAAAATATTGCACCCCGATTTCACAGCTGTGTATACCTGACTTGCTGCCTGTGTAGCAACAAGACCAGTTCCTTGTAATTAGCTCCTCTTCCTACAGGAGAGAATTTCCAAATGTTAACTTTTTTCCTTGTGAGAATATAAATAATTACTATTTTATAAAGAAAACATCTACAAATTAAAAATTATGGAGTTCAGTCTCTAGCACAACAAACAAACAAAGAAAAATGAAACACACAAAATAACCGACAAACTGAAAATCCCTTCTTCGGGATATCAACATGTAATACAACAACTATTGTTAATTTCCTATCACCTTGTCTGAAATTCAGTACTGTTTGTATTGTTCATGTGTTATTTTGTAAATATATGTGTGTTTGTTAATATATTTTCTTTCTTTGTTTTTAAAATAAAAAAACTAGAAAATTTCCAAATCTTTAAACATCCAAGCATCCTACTGATCCTGCATTTCTTTTT